TGTTACCGTCAGAAGTATTTCACAAGAAGCTCTAGTAAGACAGCCTGAGTGAGACACTTAAGTCCTCTGGGAAAAAGCAAAGCAGACAATTTTTGAAGTGGCCTACTTCCAGAAATTTGGAAGTGTTTTTGAATATCTATATTCATATATAGATATATATATAGGCAGTCTCACTTTGAAGTACATGATTTTCAGAAGTTCTAGAATTAGTTTGCTTAAAAAAACCCCATCAAAATAGTAGTTCACCATTATGCTCTCTTACACAGTCTTAAGTTAACAGCAATTTTACAGTCTGAATCCTTTATGATGAATGTTTTAACTGTTACTCAGAGATCATACAGTAAGTTACCTTGGCTTCATTGCTTACAACAGGTTTGACAGGGAATTGAACTTCTGTGGCTTTTAATATTGTATTTTCTTGTAAGATATCTTGCTGTGATTGATTGTGGCCAAATGGCTGAAAAATAAGCACATGATTTTCTTTATAAGAGTTATCCAACTACTTTGATTTCATAAATATTTATGCTATATCAAGTTGTTGCAGTGTTAATACAAACTGGTAACCATTGTGTAAACAAAGTTTCAGTGAAAGTTCTTCTACATTTCTTGCAATACCAATGCACACCACAAAAAGTAACACAAGTAATTTTCCACACATATTCAGGTCTTTATGACTATAATTCACATTCTACTGGAAACAGGCATTTATACTAAAACTCTAAAGGTTTTCAAACAATAATTTACTTACCTTTCTACCATAAAGGCATTGGAAAAAGATTACTCCCACTGACCATACGTCAACCTTATTAGAAATCTTTGGTGGCTCTTTGCCAACTACAAAACACTCTGGAGGCAAATACCTGGAAAATAAAACGTGCATCTCAGTGTCTGCAAGTAGGTATCTGGCACTGCTAGAACTTGTTCAAATAACGAATTATACAACACTTGATGTACACACCTCTAATCTTTCAACAGCTTTACAGTTGTCTTACGATCCACATTCCACCACCTTGCACACCTATCAAAACTGTCATTACAGGTTTTTATAGTAAGTCAGTCAAGGGTCTATTTCATACAAGCACAAATACTAATATTCTTCACCTAAATCACTAATTATCACTTTTTTTTTTTTAAATGGGGATCTTAGGTTAAATATGAAACTTCCACCTATCAAAACAAGAGAAGATGAAAGTCATATAAGGGCATTTTACAGCAAGGTCTGGTTAGGAATCGTAGATAACACAGATATTCACCTAAAGACCTTTTATTTATTTTTTGAGTAATAAGGATGAAATTAACCAGAAGAGTATATGGTAGGCAAAGGGGATTGCTGTTTCCATTCCCGCAATCTGCAGGAAGCCATACTTCAAGAGCTGAAACTTGAGGAAGTTTCTGTGCCATTCCTGAATTACAAAAGAATTGGTGAAATGGAACCTCCTTTAAAAAACAAAACCTCCCAAACATACCAATATGGGGAAAGTTGAGTGTTAGGCACTGTAACATCTATAAGTGAAAAAGGTATAGAAACAGATCAGATGCTCTTTCATCAACAACATACAAGGCTTTAAAATAAATTTTGAAGAAAAATTTATGGAAATAGAAATAAGCAGAAAAATGAGAGAAGAGTACTACACAAATATGAATTTCACACAGGATCACAAAGTTTATTCTGTTGTAATCAGAATTGTTTGTGAGTATTCCAAACAAGAAAAATAAGCTTAAGTGATGCAAGTGCAAAGAACACTACTAAAATGATCTGAAGAACAGAAAACCTCCAATTCAGGTTAAAAAAAAAAGGCTATAAAAACACCACTGAGAAAGTACTGGGACTGGAAACAACCTACTTCAGGGAGGACAGCGTTGGCACAGGAACAAACAAGTATAAACTGGCCACAAATAAACACAGTCTGTAAATTAGAGGATTAGGTTTCTAATGATCAGAGAACTGAGGTTACGGAACACACTTCAAATCAGATTACTGGGGACAAAACACTAACTAAGTTTAATGCAAATGTCTGTAAGTTTACAGAAGAGATTATGTGACCTAACTGCATGAAAAGGCAGGTAACTAGACCCAGTGACTGAGGAAATCCTTTCTGGGGCTATGCTGCTGACAGTTTGTGCATCCCCTTCTTCAAACTCTCTCAAAATATTTCCCTCCTTAAAGAAGACTTTGGACTCAGAGAAAGTGTGAATTAGAAACACATAGATTCATCGTAAACCTTTTAACAGTCCCAGATCCTTTTTGATCTCTTAGAATTACAGCACCACTAGCGCCTGTGGAATTTCAGATGAAATACAAAGGCCAAAATACTTTGACATACATCCTTACAATACAGTATTAAAATTGGTGTTTAAATAGGTAAAGCATTAAAAAGAGTAGCAAAAAAAGCCTAATACTTCCAAAATGTTTAAACCTAAATAACGGTCTTTCAACAGTATGTGCACATCTGGCATTTGTACAGGAGCATGCGTGTTTTCTTTTCTAAAAAATCTTAAGGAAAAGGCAAAAGCTTTATTATGTGCAACCTCCCAATATGGGAAAAGTTGCAGAGCAAATGGGAATGACACTGGCTCCTCTGTTTCGTTAGGTTTCAGCTCCTGACTCTGATCTTGGTGCACACAGAACAAGGAGACAAAGAGCAAACGAATGCACATGTAATAACCTGACCAATACAGACTTTTCGATTTCACCCACCCTGACACAGCTACCACGCATCCAGGCTCAAAGAGCTACTGTGCCAGGAAGAAGTTGCATCTTTAGAGAGCAAAATCTAGCATTAACCTTTCTGTAAGCAATGAAAACCTTATTGTCATTTCAGTTCTGTAGGCAGCTCTAAAACTTCAGGTTCTTGGACAAGCATGCAAATGCACACAGAAAACAAATCACAGCTGCTGAGCTGTCATTAACCTTTAGGATGGAAGAGTAAATACTCTCTTGTCCTAAGGACATTACCTGCTGGTAATCCCTGCTCTAAGACTTCCAAGGACTAAGCATCCACACTTAATCATCATAGCTCTGTCAAACGTTTTCAACCACCTGCAGCCAAAGATTAAGCACCTGCTTCTTCAGAGAAATCATGTTTCTAAATCACAGTGATCATCTCCTCATTTTTATATATACACACACATATATATATGTACAATACATGTGTGTGTATATATATATAAATAAACATCACACACTCACACTCTCTTATCGTAGTTATGTTACCATTACAACATTTGGGAATATCAACACTCATAGTACTGCACAAAAATATTTGCTTGCAATCCACGTTAATATTTTTAATCCTAGCTCTCTCTCAAACTGGCTTCATAAGAGAGCATTTATGAAATATGAACAATAACCCAGAATCTAAAGAGCAAAACCAAACCAGACATTACCAGTAAGTTCCTGCTCCCTGTGAAGTTAAATCCATTCCATCCACACCATAGCTATCATCATCCATTATTTTGGACAGGCCAAAATCAGTGATTTTTATTTCTCCACATGCTGTTCCATCTACAAGAAGGATATTACCTATCCGGGGGAAAAAAAAATAATTAAAAAATTTCAAAAAGCTAACAGAATGCTTTATTCTCAAAACCAGCTTCAATTTTCAGGAACATTTAACTTCATGAGGAGTAACTGACAACTTCGTATCATCTTTATATCTTCAAGTCTAGAGGAACTTGACCATGATACATTTCAGTGCAGCCTCAGGTATATAATCATCATCTAAAACGGCTCCCTCAGCTGGGAGCTGGCTGTACAGCGAGGAAAAACCAAAATGTAGTCAGGAAACCCCCAAACATAGCAGCATACCAGTTACAATGAGGTTTCGTATTTTTCTGCTCAGAACAAACCCTACACTACATGTTTCAGGGCTTGCATATGCCACAGAATCATGCTAAGAAGCTGCTGCAATACTATGACTCTTACTCCATGTGTGAAAGTTGTCCAAAAATTTCTTGATATAAAGTTATTTGATTAAGTTACTCTGAGAACAAAAACTAACGATGTTCCATACTATGAGAGAAATCTGTATGAACTCTGTATTACACAGCAGCAGGCAAACAGGCTGGCACTGAGTTATGTTACAAACTCCAGGCTTGGAAGTGTAGGATACACGAAGAATACGAACATCATTCATGCAAGGTGGTAAAACAAAGGCCACAAAATCAAGAAAGAATACATAGTTTGTGACAATTCTTAGTATTCGTCGTAAAGAAAACTTCTGTAAAGTCCTGTTTTGAAGTGATTATGCTGGGATGCTGGAAGTGATTGTTTCCTATTTCAATCCTTTACAGGCATGATACTACATAAGGGGGAAATTATTTACATATCAGCACTTCACAGTGAACAAATCGGACTGAGCCAGCTAATGATCTTATCTGTTTATATTGCTAAATATAAATGTATGTGTCTGTGCTATATGATAATTTTCAAATCAAAATACAAAGTAGAAAAGTTAGAGCAAACATTTTTCCAAAGAAAAGACAGATGATTTTGGCGATGAAACTTGAAAGAAAAGTACATACTTTTTTCCATTGTTTACAATAAGCCTGACATACAGAAGATACTTTTGGTATTTTCAGGCACGAATTACAAACCAAATAAGTGATTTAAAAAAAAAGATGACATTTTCGATCACAACATTCCCCAGTTACCTGGTTTAAGATCATAGTGTATAATAGGGGGCTTGATCTCATTGAGATACCGTAGTGCATTTACAATTTGCATTACAATGGACCTAGCTTCCTTCTCTGACATCAATTTATGTTGCTTGAGATAGAAATCCAAGTCATTGCCTTCACAGTATTCTAACACTGTGCAAAACCTAGGGTAGAATTCAGAGAGACAAAATTAAATAACATATCAAAGTGCACAATCAGAAAGGGAGATAAGACATCCTAGTTTGATATTGGCAAGTTTAAGAACAGCTGCCTGGATATTAAACTGCTTGAATGAAATTGTTAATAGAATGCATGGCATAACTACTAGCTTATAAAAACTGACATAAATCAAAACATTCATACTAACCAAAAGAGCAAATGTACCCATACATGTATAAATATGTATGGAGATGCATGGATAAGTAATAAGTATGGATACCCATAAACATAACCATACTGATGAGAGTTTAAAAAAACCCTCTTAGTTACGTAGGGATATTTCTCAACAGAAAAATATATTCACTATCTCTTAAGATGGGACACAATTTCACACAAAGAGGTGCAGCCTGGTGACCACAGGCTACACTTAGGCTAATAACGCTCCTGATGTCATTTAGTCTTGGAAATTTGTCTAAGCTACAGCAGCCCTTGCTCTGCCCCAAAACCTTACAACACTGCATGTCCCCTTCATCTTCAGGACATCCTGTAGGGCTTGCTAATCAGGTGCTGCAAAACAGTTTACATCACTCTTAGAAGGCCTCCAATATTTAGCCGAGACAAATTCTGCAACTATGGTGTTTTTTTAAAAAAATCTCCTTAAAGAAACATTAAATGTTTTGGCTGAAAGCAAGAAAATAATTGTTTTTGTTCAAATACTCTTTGTTTCTGTTTATCTAATATACAGCACTAAACCCCTTGCCAGGTTCCAGGAAATGTACCATTTTATGTACTCACGTATCTGTATCCAGGGAGAAGTAGTCATACAGTTTAACTATCCGGGGGTGATCCAGTTCTTTATGTATTCTATACTCTCTGCAGGCATGTCTAAAAGAAGATGGATACATTAACCTTCCACAATCAATAAAATACTATTCAATTTAACATATGAAGCTTAAGTCATTAAATATTCACTTGTGGTAGTTTTCTTTCTTTTCATCCCTCCAGCTTTTGTTAAGCTGATGAATCTTCACAGCGGCATATCTTTGTTCATAAAGATCAAAAGCCTAAAAAAAAAGAACAAACCACAAATATGGGAAAGTTATAACCAAAAAATGATAAAAATAACACCCAGTAAAGAGAGGGGAAAAAAATTGGCATGTAATTCACAAGTCTGTTGACAAGTCTATTGTAATTCTACCTCCCTCCATGGGTTAATCAATGTTTACTCAATCAGTGTTTAAAGAGTATATTACATTACAATGCTTCTGCTCATTTAGATCCCCTCCTGCCCTATAATTAATTGTACAAATGTATGTGTCTCAAACATTAGATATAGCAGGCCCAACACATCCTACCTTATATACTTCACTGAAGCCACCTCGGCCAAGTAAATGGAGTAACAAATACCGTTCATTCAACGTGGGGTGATCTTTAAATCTTGAAAGGAAACAAAAAATCATTTAATTTTATTTAAGCTATATACAAACAGAGTCTAAAATGCAAGCCTCTTAGTATTACTTCTCAAAGGGAGCTTTGTTTTTACTAGAAACATATAATATGCTGAATATCACACCATGTGTAACCTTATGGCACAACAACATAACACGTCCACTTTCAGGCACCTTTTGACTATTTAGTGTACAAATGCTATCACAGTACCATTGTCAAACTTGTCAATTTTGGCAAACTTTTTTGTATTTTCCTTTATTTTTGTGAGGACAAGAAAAGCACTCTTAAACGTTAACATGAGATTCAAGTGCTCTCTCTTTGTCATACCAAATTTTAGAGAAGTCTCAAACTACAGCTTTCTGAAACAGATGAAGATTTTCTTCCAATTTCACATGAAATGTGACTGGACCTCTTGTACATAATTGCCTATTTTTAATAAAATAGATTTTATATAACACTAAGATGTTAACAAATAAACAGCAATAGAGGGAAAACACACCGAAGGACTGAATATATGCTTGTATTCTAATTAAAAGCAAGAAGAAAACATTCCTTCCAAACAAAATATGATGCTGCAGGACAGAGAAAAGGACCATACTCTCTCCTGAAATGTGCAGAAGACAAAATACGTCCTTCCATCCAACCAGGGGGAAGGAGAGTGAATACTTCATTACTTTTCTAGTGCAATGATGAGACAACTAGAATCACGAGTTTAGGGCCAGCTGCCAACTTCACTTTATAGAAAACTTTAAGGAAGGGTTTAGGGATAATTTGACATGTTCTCTACAGTTTTGGAGGTATGGTCATAGATAATCAAGTACATTGCTTACTGTGGCCCTTTTAAATATAACACTTCCCTTTTCCTCACTACAAAAATACATATTTCAGTAAATACATTTTTTTTTAAAAAACTCACAAATAATAATGCACTCGGTGCAGAAGAAATAACAAACTTAGAGGTAGCATCAGCAGACGACTGAAGTCATGTGATCAGTAGCCCAATTCTTTAAAACTGCACTCAACAAATTTAGGGTTGTATTTTCTTGGGCCTTCTATTACATGACTGTCTCTAGTAGGGCCAATCTTGTGAACCTTTCCACTTTTCCTCTCTGCTGCTGTTTTTGCCGCTCTGTGTGGCTTAGTGCTTATCCTGCTGGTAGCCCCAGCATCAACTGGGCTCTAAACCCAGACAGGGAAGCCCTATGCCACACTCTCATCTTGCCCTGTTATCCCAGTGCAGTTGTAGGGAACACATGCAGACATACAAGTTTGCCCATCTCTAAACTGGGCAATACTTCCATTGTCAGGGCTGGAACCCCAAACAGGTGAGTTTGCTGTCTACTTTGTATGTGGGAAGTGGGTAGAGGGACGTAGAGGGAATTTTGTTTAAACAAGAAAGAAGGCTCTGCTTTGCACCACAGCTGGAAGCTGAAAGCCCAGCAGGAGTTGAGTCAGGACCCAAGAGCTGCTCTGCTTCAGAACCCTCTCCCTTATCAAGTGACCAGTTGCCAAGACCTGTTAGGAAGGACAACAGGAGCTACAGACCAAAGTTACCTCTCTGTTGTTTCTGTCTTCTATGTTATGAGCGTAAGCTGCAGCTTGGTCACTTGGTAAATATTCAAGTCTAAACTCCCACAAAAACATGAATATATCATTTAAAGCTTTTTGTTCTGCACCATAAAATGTGTCAACATTGACTGCAGAAAATGAGCAGTGAAGCTGCAGTATTCTCTTTGTCCGTGTCCTGTAACTCTGTTTTCAACTGGAATTGTAATTTGGAAATTCTTTGCCCCACATGCGCAATTTGACGCAGCCAAAGCCTGTCATTTTGCTGTGGCGTTTATTCCTTCTTGATGATTGACCTTTTTTAAAAAAAGAACACACCCCAACTCTTCTTTAGTGTCTGCAGACACTAAAGATTAAAAAAGGTTATCGCTTAACCTGCAAAGACATTTAAAGTCTCTCCTCCGTAGGTAAAATGTGATTTTAGAGCATTATTTTAAAACCAGACATGTAAAATTAAGACAGTAACTGTCTTACTGTGAATTATCTTCATTATTTATTCTTTTCAGTTCTCTTATGTGAAGATTCCTAACTCTTTCCAAACGTTCGAGTTCTGCTTGTATTTCAGCTTCCTCCTGCAAATGAAAAGGACAAAATATAAAAGCTCATTTACTCCCCATTTGAAAAGGGTATTTTTACCCCTGCACCAATACTAGTGGTGACAGAGGAACATTACATTACAAAACCCTGCTGAATTAGAAGAAAGCATCTCTTAAAGCCAGAAAAATTCAGAAAGATAAGGCAAAAGCCTGTTTCAAGGAACCTTTCTGTCCGTGAACCCACAGGTAATGGGATGTTCACAGTTTTGTTCTGCACTGTAGGGATGCTATCTGAAATGAGAGGCAGCTGGGTTTTGTACCTCAGCCAAGGAGAGAAATTATCTGGGAAGCGGTCTGAAATTGATGTACAAAGAAGACAAAACTTGAGATATGTGCAGTTATAGATTTTTTAGAAACTGAAAAATTAAGAAGAGACGTTTAAAGTATTTTGAGGCTCAAGTGCAAATCAAAAAGAGATTAAAAGGATAAGTCATTACAGGAGAAATGTTCTTAAGGTGTTGATACAGGACACCAAACTCAAGCTAATTTAAAAATATTTTTTCATTTGTATCTTATTAAAATTACAAATGCAGAGTGTGTATTGCCTAAGATTTTGAGTGCAACTTCAAAAGAAGCATGTCAGGTATGAGATCATTCTAACTAATTTCAGCACTTAAAATCATCTCATCTTTATGCTACATATTAGAGAACATTGAAATAGTTGTTATTCAGATTCTCTTAAAAAGTAAAGAACTCAAGACACCTAATTTGGGGAGATCTACGTATCTATACTTGAAGAAAAAAATTTATACTCATTGAAAGACACTGTAGAAAGGGTTGTATAAATTTCAGAGTTAGTACCTCTAGAACTTGCGAGTTTGAAGGAAGGGGAGACACAACTGGCCCATACCAAAAATGCTCAGAATTAAGGACTTATTCTAAAAGGAAAAAGAGGGCCTGGCACCTGATACGTATTTTTTTAGTAGCAGTGTCGGTGGAAGCAGTGTCCCACATCATCTCTTGTTATTTTGGCACAGCTTCTTGTACAGCCATGAAACAAACTGGAAAGTTAATCAATCTCTTTGAGGGGAGCTAATAACTTCTCAAATCCAACTTATACTGTAACCGCACAACCTGGTGGTGCTGGTAAAAGCAAAAGTGCAACAAATCAGGGCACAAGGGGATGGAGGCCGAAGTCAGCAGAGGGGAGAGAAAATACTGTAAAGCTGTTATTTCCCAACACGGTGTATCATAAAATCACATCCTGAAACAATAACCTCATACATATTATCAAAAACACACACTAAATTACCACATTTCCATTGAGTTAAGGAGTCAGGACCAGGTGATTTCAGTGGATATCCTGAATCCCTCCTTGTAAGCTAAGGAAAAAGCTCTCATCCCCCCAAAAAGACTTAGATGACTCCATTCAGAAAACAAAAATCAAATTCCTAATAATTTAAAAACCAGACTAAGTAACTCTGATCTACTAGCAGATCTAGGCAGACTACTTGTTTCTGCTAACATGCAATGTCAAGGGCTGGTTTTTTTGTTTGGTTCCTCCCCCATTACACAATGGTAAATGCTTTTTCATTTATTTAGATTCATCCTTGCAGTTCTGTTAAATAACCTGAAATTATATTCAGTTCTTCATAACCTAGTAGTACTTTACAAAGAATTGCAGCCTTTCTCCTCCTGCAAAAGGCTTGTACACACAAAATTGTTTATGTTCTTCCCAAAGGCTGACAATAAATAAATAAATAAATAAAAATCCATCGGTTATGCCTCTTTTGGGCTTTTTTGTTCACGTATTATGCAATTCAGTGGTTCTCAAAATGTGGTGCATAGGCCAATGTTAGTCCAAAGAGAACTGGCTGGCTGCATTGTTTCCAGCTGTTATTTAGGACACTCAGGCTGTGAATACCTTTAAGCAAGAATGAACCAGCTTAGCTGCCCCAGGTCCCTGCTATATAAAAGGAAGCGAGAAAACAAGAGCCTCTCTCCAGGACCAAAGCTGCTAGCTGGAAAAGAATTTCCTGGGGAGCAGAAGGAAAAGAAAACTGGTGGAGGCAGCATGTACAGGGCACCAAAAATAAGAGCACCAGGAAAGCATCTGGAGAGTGAAAAGGAAGAGGAGCAGACAGCAAAGCAGCATATGCAGAAGAAAAAGTAACGTAACCAGCAAAGAAGCACTAGGGAAGAAATACAGCCATGTAAAAAGAAGGCAACAAAACTGTTGTTCTGGGTTGATAACAAAATCTGTACCATACATCAGAATTAAAATTCAAGTATGTATTTTCATCATTATTTTCAATTATACATTAGTTATATTGAAAAATTATTTGCTAAGAAGTAACGTTTGTTTCCCCTCTGGCATTTAGTCAAGAAAGTTTCTTCACACACAGAGTACCCCAGCATTAATGCTCTAGGTGAAAACAAAATTTGGATATTAAACAACTTTGTAAGAGATTCCTTCACATGTCACTTGAAATTTCCGTTATACTTCCAAAAAGTTAAAGCATTAAATAACCCTACACAATTTCCTAGCAGAATTGCATGTGAGGCTGGTGCTATTTCTAAAGCATTAACGATGAAGAACTATGTGGGCAGCCTACCTCTCTAGTGCCAGAAGTTTATATGCAGATTCCCTACCAGAGATTGAAGTACTGCCTTGAAGTATTCCTTAAAAACAGCATCGGTGCTCTCAAGGGGCTCGGTTCAGTTTGTTAAGAGTAAGATTTATAACAAGGTGACTTGTACATTTGAAGAGAACAGGCCTGAAACAGACTCTTGCAATATTTTAAGGGGAAAAACACTACGAACTTTTTTGACTGAACATCTCAAGAACTACTGCTCAGCAGACTGACATATTTCTGCCTGCTTCGACTTGTCATTCCTTTTCACAGGTTATTCCTCAAATAATAAGCTATAGTTTGTTAATATCACAATTACCTTATTACACAGACTTAATAGAATGATGGACTCCAAGAAAAATTACTGCTTTTTCTTCAAAAGTAAAACTAGAGTAAAATGTCTGACTGCAAAAATAATTTAAGATACAGAGAAAAGATTTTCCTTCACAAAAGTCGGAAAATTACATTATCTCCTGTGATAGGTAGTATGTCAACTGGTAACAAATGCAGTGGATACTGTAAATCATTAAAATATAACATTTATTCAGAAATGCTTCATAAATTGGACTTTTTTAAAGGTCAAAAAATAACATAAAAAGTCCATATATCAAATTTGGTTGACTCCACTTCCTCAGCTCTGAAACAAGAGCAGTATTGGGGCCACCATCACTGCTACCTCTGTGAGATGGATTCAAGCAATCAGTGCAATGTTACACTGGATAGGTGCACTACTACTTCCCTGTACTGCCAATGTCTGTGGTAAATTGTACAAAAGAAATAAATAAATAAGGAAGACCACTATTAGGCATAGAATTGCACAGCACTTTCAGTATATTACATTTCCAAATCAGATAGCTCTCAACAAGCCATGTCCTTATTTTGATAGTACTAGTTTTTTAGCATTTTGGGAGCATTTAAAAGAGAATAATCTTTGAGTAACAGACCTCATACACACATACATACCTTTTTGAGATGTCCTAATCGAAGTTTGAAAATTTCTTCCTGTTCATGATACTCTGCTAGAGTCAAACTGACAAAAACAAAACAGACCAGTCATGTAAGTATAGCTTTTATACAATGGTAAACAAATAACATTCTTACTTAAATACTACAGTAAATACAGTATCTTACATTAACTATTTACTAACACAATAGTAAGACTACATTTTTGAACCACCTGAACATCATGGTTCATCATTTCAGGGACAAAACATACTTAGAGAATGCCTCTGTGTCAGATATTTTGAAATATAACAGCCTCTTCCACTGGACCATTTCTCTCACATAGCCTAACTATTATTTGGGTGCATCCTGAATGACATCATCATCCCAGTACTTTAGCTGATGCTACTCCACTGCTTGGTTCTCAACTCTAACACTTCATGAGCCAAAGGATGGATCCAGAAACCAACTAGACAAGACTGATAACACTGGGTTTTTGAGCTGTGATTTAAAGAATGTAGTGTAAAACGACACATTCCGAGTTCATTAACACTACATTTTGCATGAGACCACAAATGCAGTTTTGAGCTGCCATGTGACTCTTTTGCTGGTTCTTTTTTCATCTTCCGTTGAGAAAAGATTCCTGGCTACAGTTAATTCAGTGGTCCCTCACTGTCTGTAGGCATTTATCATCGAGAGGATCTAGACTATTCACACGGATTAATAACTAAGAAACCCACAAACTGACTGCATGCAGTATCCCTCTGACAAAGGAACAACAAAAAAAAAGGCACAAAAGAAAGATCACCAAAGAAAATAAATCAAAGGGATTCAAGCTCCAGAGAATAAACCACACGTGTTTGATGAACTACAAACAAATTAAACCCAAATATTTTACTGTTTTGCCTAGGTCTACTATTTCTTGCATGATCCAAAGTTAAAACTACCAGCATAATGCACTTTCACAAAGTCCGTATTTTTGCGGTTTCAAATATCAACAGTTCTGGGAAGAACACAAAGTGTTCTATAAATGCTATATAGGCTATAAATGCTGTTCATATTGCAAGTATAATGAACCAAAGTGACCTGAGAATCACCTGTAGTCTCCCCAGAGGTGAGAGACGCCAGTTCAGACTTCTTTCACAGCAAATACCAACTTCGATAAAATTGGCAGAAATCTAATAAACTTTAAGACTTCTTCCTCTCTTTTAAATTTGGATGAAGTTTGCCACCATAGTTTTCAGAATTCTAAACGCCATATTTATTGGGTCTCCAAAATTATTAAAACACAACTACCTCTTTTCAGGATAAAACCTGCTGATTCTGAAGCTTTTCATAGAGCTCACTCCTACTACTGATTTCATAAATACTGAATTTCACTGTCCTGGCCAAGTCAGAAAAGGGGCAGAAGACAGAGTTGACCAAATATTCTCCATGAATATTAGTGAAATTGCTGAATTCTTTTTTGACCACAGCACGTAAGTTTCTAAGAACCTGGGAACAGCTGCACAAGACTGTAGTTGTCTCATCAACGTTCTGGTCTATAATGTGCAGAAAACGCTCAGATTAGAGACACCTATGACTACGACCTGTCAGAATTTGAGAAGCAAGTGACCCTTTCTTTTATGAAGCATCATATAAAGTTACCTTGCATCATTTTTTTCCTACTGGAATGAAAAGCAGCCTTGTATTCCAGTCAACAGCCATTCCCAAACACTCTGAAGGCAACAGGGTGAGGAAATTTGCCTCTCCGAAAAGGTAAAAGGTCGCTTAGTACCGGATTTTGGAAATGAATGCTTATATTCTTTTCCTCGCAGTATCTCCTCTATGTTTAGACAATTTACACTGCCCCTTAAAAGAAGAGGCACTAAAGATTAAAGAAAATGTGAGAAGAGGTGTCTCAATAGCTCTAATGTTTACTCCAATACATCTGCTAGACCTGTCAAAGAGAGCATCAAGGACGTACCAGGCAACTCACAGCATCACCCCCGAAATATTGCCAATACTTCTACCCTAACAGCAAACTACTCTCATGTGGATTAAGTTCTCAACTAAAAAAGGCAAAAGATCAATACCAATCTGTACAAGATTGAATATTACTCTTTGCAAATTCTCGTCTGCAGTATAAATTACAAGTTTGTGCATTTCCAGGAACATAGCCGGCAGTTTGTCTTTCTCAGGAAGAGGAGCATTTAGGCAGCTTAGCAAAGCTGAACCACAAGTAACACACACTGAAAATACGAACTTTATAATATCATCTTCGAGAATTTTCACTGAACCTGTGAGCCCTAAAACTACAGATTGTCACAAAAACTGACATAATATAGGAAAACTAGTCCTTTTTATAAAACCTCAGCTATCTACACAGAGTTACGACAAAGTGCTTAGACAGTCTAGCAAGAACTGCCTTCTAAAAAGTTCTTAAATAGCCCTCTTGAGCACAGAACACAAGAAGTCATAATGAAAACATTAAGATTCAAAAAAATCACTCT